CATGCTCATAAAATAACACTGTATTAGAACCAAGTAAGCACACAACTTGTGCAAGAGAGAAAAGCATTCTGATTAAAAACAAATTACAATTCACACATACCATTACACATATGAATTTACTAATCTAAACAGGAATTTGTAATCATAAATTTATATATGTAATCAATGGCATATCATACCAATTAAAATTGAATAACAGGTAGCAAGCAACATGGAACTTTTTATTTTTAATTTTAATTACCGAAGTGCAACAGTAACTTATTCATATTAATAATCTAAGCCATAGGATATATATATACTAAAGCTAAATTCCTTATCATGACTTCATACAGTGGGCTTATCAAAATAAATATATAAACAAGAACAACATATGAAGATTTGAACCAGTGGGCTTATTCTATATGAATTTCATAAGAAACATAACTAATCTATTTTAAGATTGTTGTACAAATTATGCAATTTAAATAAGATAAATAAATTCATGATTTATTAAATAAAATAATAGAACATCATATAAAGTCATATTTGATAAATTACATTATAGAGCATGACACATGAAACATGATTAACAGAAATACATATTTAATTGAAATATTGAAAATAAGGAATCAAACTAAATTTTGTGTGATACCACAGTATCCTTAAAACAGATTAGCCGCCTCACCGTGAGTGCTGGAGGAACGTCGACTTCTGTCTCCCAGAATAAGATGGTTTAGACCGGCTAATGCAGAAGCATCTTCTGTTAGCTTTAGCGAAGCGACAATGTCAGCACTCTTTCACATATGAAGAAAAATTATAGGCAGAAGCAAACTGACTGTATGTATTCTGGAATCAAAAAATCTGTGTAAATAGCAAGAGAGATAGGTTTCATTTTATACACCATGGGGGAGAGAGGAGGAACCTCGAACCATGAAGGCTAGCAACTAATGCTCATGAAAGCTAGCAACCAATGCCCATTAAAACTAATGGGACAATTATATGAGATATATATTTTGTATACACTAGTGTATATATCTGCAGAAGACTTGGCCCAAAACGTTCAGGTTGGTAGACCACCAATCCGACCCAGTCCAAGATCTCCAACCCATGGATCACGGACCCGACTCGGGTGGGCGGCACACGCGCGCGTATGGCAATTTTACCATAACCAACTTGGACCATAGTCATGGCCCAAGCTCATCCTTGAAGCATCCATAACTCCATCCCTTCGAAAAATTTGGATGCCCTAAAGGGCTTATACCTTTATCAAATCTTGAGGTTTAAATACCCATAAAAGCTTTTCTCTACAATCAATGTGGGATTGGTTGTTATACACAATTCACAATACCTCATTCATGAGGCCATCTTTATAAGACAATTTTTCATTCAAATCTCAATGATTTTTTGTCATTCTTTTTATGATGTAAAGACCTTGTGACAAAGAATCTAAACCCATTTAATCTCACTTCAACCAAAGGTTGGGACCTACTTTAATTTCACATTAAAGTCGTCAAAAAACTATTTTTCCTATCAATATGTAGTCATGGCTACTGGTGTGCAGATATGAGAAAAGCATGTCCTAATATTCGAGGTGTTATGTATAATATATATATAAATGTAATTTTTTCATTATATTATGTAATAAATCATTAATGAAATGTACATATTGATACAAATAGATTTTCAAGGCGGGCAATGTGTAACATTTATTTATTTTGATGGAGTGTAATACTTTTAATTTGAGATTGACAAAATAATACTTACAGAGCGTTTGGTGTTTTTTTTTTTTTTTTGCAATTTTTTGATTTTGTTTAATTAATGTGATTGGGAAGTTGTTACAAAATTATTTTTTTATGAGTGAAAAAAAAAGATGTGACATTTGATTTTTGTAAGTCAATAATAAATAATTTAGTGACTTTTTTAATCAGAAGTTGACTTTTTCTTGTGTTCCCAAGCAACTCCAGCGATATTTAGAAAACAAACCTCGTAATGTTCTTGAAGGAGAGCTTTTACAGTTGTAATTGGGCTATATATATGATAATCTAATTTACTAATCAAGGTTTCTTGGAGGGGAAAAACAAGTGAACATAAATTCAATTTGCTCAAATATCTTTAATTAGTCTTTTTTTTTTTTTTTTTTTTTTTCAGATTTTTTTTTTTTTAAGAAGGTTACTAATAAAAATCTCAATATTTGTTACAATAAGATAATTTTTTTTTTACTATGAAAGACCAAATTTGAACTATTCTTCATAAAATACTTGAATTGTTAATATGAATATATTGTAACAAGTTTACCTTGTATAATTTGTATATATATATGAATATATTTTACTCATATTGTAGCAGTTGGTAGTTTCTGTTAACATGAATACTTGAACTGTTGGTACAAATTAGGCACTGGGTACTGCACTGTTGGTATAAATTTTTGGTGGTATAAATAGAATTTTTGTCTAGGATTGGTGGTATAAAAGCTACCCCTTCATCATATATACTCTCATGTTTTCAACAATTTGAGGCCATAACTCTAAAATTGTCCACTAACTCTATGTTTTGACCTCCCAATTATTGTTCTTGTTTGCTTCCTTGCATCAATGTTTTGTCCACTAACTCTAAAATTGTGTATTCTATTTCACTTTGAAGCTACAATGGATATTGATTCGAACAATAATTTAATTAATGGGAGTGAGGAAGTTGAAGAACAGGATAACACTATTTCATTTAATGAGAGTGGAGAGTGGTGACGTTGAAGAACCTAAGAAGGGGATGTATTTTACCTCAAAGGAAGAAGTGTACGCATTTTATGCAAAATACGCGAAACACTCTGGATTTGCTATGGCTTATAGAACACCAAATCTAACAAGTGATGGGGAAGTAAAGTACTTTGGAATTGAATGCACTCAGGCGCAGAAGAGAACAAAAAGATCATAAGTAAATCCCTTGGAACCATCTTTGTCATCAAAAATTGATTGTAAAGCAAGGGTAAGAGCCAGTCTACAAAAAGATGGAATATATAAGTTAACCACAATTGTGCTTGAGCACACTCATGATTTGGTTCTCACTGACCTACGACATTTTACAATGAATAAGAGGATTCTTACTCTGGTGAAGAGGAGACTAGAAGTTAACGATGCAGTAGGGATCGGGGTGGTTAGGAATTTTCATTCCATAGTTATTAAAGCGGGGGGATATGAGGCATGAACGTTTGATGAATGAGATACAATGAATTACATTAAGAATGCTAGAAGGTTGAGACTTGGGGTAGGAGACGCCGAATCAGTTACACTTTATTTTCATAAAATGCAACAACAAAATTCAAACTTCTATTCGGCAATTGACCTTGATGAAGATGGTCGCATGCGCAAATTGTATTACTATTTAATGATAAGGTACCACACGATCAACTTTACTATTTTCCTTCTATGGTGGGCACACTAGATAGTATGTTTGCTCCGGTACGTATTGAATATATGACTACACATATTTTAATGATGAATTCAATTTTAGATTGGTCAATATGTTTGTGGACAATATTTGTAATATTTACTTTGTTTATAGGCCTGGGTTAGCCCAATGCAAATGGCGGACAATATTGGAAGCACATCTCATACTCAATCAGGAATGGTCAACAATATAAGCAGTCAAAGTTCGATAGTAGCATTACAATTTGCTAACTTAAATGTACATACCGATCCAAATGTCCCTTCTTTTTTTTTAAGCTTCGCTCTAGTAAATGTATGACATTCATATGTACTTCGGATAGTTTGGTTTTCATTAAGTTATTTTGCAAGCAATTGCATACTCTTGATATTTGAGTATTTAACAGTGTTGATTTGAGCACTTGAGTTGAGCAAGTTTGATGAGCACTTGAGTTGTTCTGCACGCAAGTTTGATTTGAGCACTTGAGTTTAGCAAGTTTGATTTCAATATTTAACAGTGTTGTTCTGCAAACAAGTTCGATTTGAGCACTTGATTTCAGCAAGTTTGAATGAGCAAATTTGATTATTTTTGTTTTTCCTTTTTTAAATGTATGTACAACCATGTTTATCAGTTTTAATATATACAATAAATAAATTCTTTAGTTGTCAAATACATAATTTTTCCTTCAAAACATCTCATTCAGATTTTAGTTGTTTGCAGTGAAGATGTGGTTTCTTTTAGAATATCGGCCCCGTTTGGCGTTTGGTGTAGCTGTTAAAACAGTTTATAGATTATAACTTAACAAATTATAAATTATGACTTTAATTAAAAGTTGTTAACCTGTTTGGTGTATCAGTTGGATTATATATTTAAGTTACTGAGTAGTGTTTGTTAAATAAACTGTGAAATAGCTTTTTCAATTAATTTTTATTTTTTGTTTGCCTACATTTCTCATAAAAAAAATAATAATAATCTATAGTCCATTTGGGTCTTTTTCTATTTTTAAAAAAATAAAAAATAAAAAAATTTAAGAGTAGAACAAAAAATTAACATGTCCACAGCAGAAACTGATAATCAGAAGTAAGGGGTGAGCAGCTTCTTAGAATCAGCTTTTTTGAATTAAAATAAGCTGTTAAAATCAGAAGCTGTTTGAAATAAATCTAACCAAACAGTCCAAAATAACTTTTTCAAAGCTAAAAGCCATAAGTTAGTTCTGAAAAGCTAAAACAAATACCCCCATCGTTAGGCATTGTTTTTTCACTCCCCAAGGGAATTTTCAGATCTAGCTATAGATAGCTAAAATACCCCAACTTCGACAGCTTTCAGATAATGTTCTTATTTGAAGGATGCTGAATGAATGCATCACTTTATCTAGTAATTCCATGAACATTCCTTTTTTTTCCCCCTTGACAAACTTGCCAATCCATCCTGAATCATTCCAGCCATAGTATGAGCCAAAATCCTCTTATTCCTTTTCCAACCACATTTCATATCTTGTAAAAGCTAAGGACAGTTTCAACATAGTGCTGCTTAAGCTGCTCACATTTCTACTGTTCCTGTTGCTTTGACAATAGAGTCACATTTGTATTAAACCAAACCAAACCAAGCCTCAAGTCACATTTGTATTAATTCTAGAAAAATTGAATAATAAAACCTGGAAGGCTCACATTCGTTAGTACCCTCCAAAATCATCCACATACAACACAAAATATATAGGGCAGGTATTCATGACATTTCCCAAAACCTAACTAAGTCATTTACATCATTAAGTCCAAAAACATACAAAATACAAAATAAGTTTTTGATTACATCTATGAAATTCGCCAGAACGACAGAGAGTCAGTCATTTACATGATAAAGTGCAAAAACAAACAAAACACAATCACATAAATCATTGCTTTGAAGTTCTTCTCCATCATTTGAATCCTTCTACCATGCTCATGAATTTCATTGTCCATCTCACCAAGCCTTGTCGTTAGATCGTTTACTTCTTCTATTCTTATAGTTTTCTAAGGTCCAACATTAGAACGAATTGTGGAGCTAGTGTCATCATCATCCTCATCTACGAATTTGAAGTAATTATAGTATTTCTTATAACTTTACAATGCATAAGAAATAGTCAATCAAATCACAAAATTAACTTTGTACATAGTAAAAGACCAATTTCTATAATACATACTTATATATTTCGATGGGCAAACAAAGAACAAACGTCCTTGGTTTCCATTCTCATTCGTTCGTACAATATACATCACCGTTGTTCTCCCACAATCTCACAATCTAGGTTTTAACCTTCTGTTACTATTTTTAGTAGAAGAAGAAGTCATAGTTCTGTAATCTGCATACATAATACGCAATGCATTTCAATTTGTTTCTGATTACACTCAAGTTAATTGGAGTAAACTCAAGACCAACTACATAATCTCAGCAACTATAACTTATCGGTTAGCATTACAAACATGATCAACTTTTGCAGCTTATTATTTCAGCTGGACAATGACAAAAGGACACAATTCAAAAAACCCAATATCTATTGCAGATCACAACTGTTAATCTGTACAAATTAATATCTCTATGAACAACAAACCAATATTCAAATAATTGCTTTATCAACAACAAATTAATATCTCTATCAATAACAACAACAAACCAATATTCAAATGAATATCTCTATCAACAACACAATTCAAAAAACCCAGTATTCAAAGAATTGCTTTATATCTCTATCAACAAACCAGCCTCATCTTAATCTGTACAAATTAATTTACCTAGCCAATGCTAGTGTTCTCAGCGAAAAGGGAGAGACTTATCAAACACATCACAAATTAAAGCCAAATCCCAAACCCGAACACAAATTCAGAGCAAAATCCAAACCCAAACAGTCACAATAAAACAACTGAACCGAGCACATGAAAAACAAGAGATATCTTTGCTTGTTATTGAACTCAACAGTGATACATGAAAAGAATAAAACAAAATTCAAAGAGAGTTAATCAACAAGAAAAATGGAATTACCTACAATTTTACAAAAATTAACTAATTTCTCTGTTGGGAATGCAGATAAGATTGCAAATATTTCCGATGGTTCTGCTTCTGCACTTCATCAACCGATGGTTCTACTTCTTGCGAAGAGATTCAATGGTATAAAGATAATCATCGAGACATAGAATCCAGCTTGGAAATTGGTCATTGTAAGTTATTTAGGACAATCGACTAATTTCTACAAACATTGAAGCCAAAACATAAACCCTAGATTTGGGATTTTAGGTTTACCTCATATTTCGAATCTTCTCATAGGTTTACTTCAGGTTTTGTATCGTTCGCTGTGGTTTGCTAACATTCGCCATCGTTTGTCCTCGTTCGTCCTTCTTCGTCGTCAATTAGAGAGCGTTCAGAGATGAGAAGGATGACAGAGATCTGGGATGGGATAAGAGAGATCTGCTGAGCAAAGAGATCTGGCCTGAGATGAGAGAGATCTGCTGAGCAGAGGTGAACGTGATCTGAGATGAGAGGACGGTTCCGATTCGCAGCCCGAATTTTTCACGGCTCGAGTGGTTCAAAATCCCAAAACAACGTCGTTTTAGGTTTTTTTTTATTCTCTTACCGGTAAGGTAATATTTTTCGTACCATTTGCCCCATTCAAGCCTCACTTTCTCGAACTACGGAGCATTTTCCATGAGAGAATGGTTTTTGGCTTCGAATAGAGGTAGAGAGAAATAGCGAGGAAAGAGATAAAAAGAATAATGTCTCAGAGTTCAAAATTTTGTAGCTTAAATAGTTTAAATTTATCAAAATGATATCGTTTTACACTTAAAATCTATCAAAACGAAGTTATTTTAAGTGATTTGAATCATTTAAGTCACAAAATTTTGAGCTACCTAACATTATTGGAGATAAAATATGATAGAAATATATTTTTCAGGCCACTCAAGTCAAAAAGTTTCGAGCTATAAAGCTTTTTTCTCATGAAATTTGAAAAAAATACAATAAGTCCTACAAGTTCGGGTAATTCTATTTCCACACAGCAATTCTCCATATTTCACACTCAGTGAAAATTTTTCTTAATACAATTTTGTTTTAGAATAAAAATATCATAATACCTTTGTCATCTTCCACCCAACCTCTAATTCTAAAACACTACAACCTTCCTCCATCGCCAGCACTACCTCTTTCTTTTGTCATTCTCTCTCGTCACCTCTTTTTTACTTCACCTACAATCACTTTTCGCTATGAACCATATATTCCTACAAGCCCCCATCACAAACCATCAACTTTCGATGTTAAAAGTGAAGGTCTAGGATGGAAGGGCAATGGCTGTGGTGGCAATGGATGGTTGAGGGTTGTAGGAGATGTGAGTAGCTGAAAGAAAGAAAAAGAAAAAAAAAAAAGATCTTTAAAATTGAAGATGAGGGTATTATTGAAATAAAAAGATGTGTACTAAGATTTTTTATTTTACTGATGTATGTATTAAGAAGTTGTTCATTAAGTGTGTACACTAAAAGGAATTAGTGTGTGAAAATAGAATTATCCCACAACTTTAGCATAATTACATCATGCTCCTTTAAGATTTTAAATATAATACTTGGGCCTATTTTTCATTAAAAATTCGTTAATGATATGAATGAAAAAAATAATGTCATCATATCATTTATGTTGAAATATATATTTTATCTTATATATCTTTATGTTCTATGTCAATTGCATTAATTTTTGTCACTTTAACCTTATTAAAAAAAATCAATATAATTAAATTAAATTTATAAAATTTATTATATATTATTTAAATTCAAGGACACATCAGCATAATGTGCCCTTAAAATTTTAATGGCTAGCTAAATGATTTATGCATTACAATTGCACGTCTATGACCTGCGCATGCTTATCTACGCAACAATGCACTCATAAATCTACATAAAACTACCTTCTACCAATAAAAATATAATTTTTGGCTAAATAATTTAAAAAGTAAAATTTCGTTTGGATAAGGTTGGAAAAGCAATTTAAAAAGTATATATATATATTTTTAATTATTCACTATTTTTTTTAGCAATTATCAAAGACATCAATTCTTCAAAATATTAAAAGTTCAAAAATAAATAAATAAATCAAACACTAAAATTACAACTGCAAACCCAACATATTATGATTACTTTCACTAATTTGATATAATTTTTTTAATTTAGGGGGGGAGCTGATGGCAAGCCCCACACCCTTGTGACATTTTAATTATTTTTGATCTTTCACATATATCACACTTTAACAACATAGTTGGAGCACCCATTTAATTGCTAAATTAACAAACACTAAATAAATAAATTAGGTGTCACTTTTATCATTTTTTTATTATATAACACACAAATTTAAAGAGGCTATTCAATTTGCTCTTACATGAATAAAATGAGTGACGATTCTCTAGAGTGCTTTTTTTTTTAGACTTTTAAAGTGATTTTTTGGATAGGTAAAATTTAATTCTATAAAAATTAAGGGTATAATAATCATTTTACCTACTAACTCTCAAGCATAACCTTATCAAATACTCAATGATGAAGTCTTCAAGCAACCGATTAACAAAAAAAAGTCTTCAAGCAAGTACTCACATACATAAAAAACAAAATGAAAAAAAGGAAGATTTTAGCTTACAAAAGTTAGCTTAAAAATATACACACACACACACAAAAAAAAAAAAAAGAAGAGTTGAGAAAATTACAAAAGAAATCCAAAGTTTGACATTTGTAGCAAAATAAATCTTGAATTTTTTATTTTATCAATTTAAATCTAAACTTTTGATTTGCTTTCCATTTAAATCATCTGTCTATTTCATTAATTAAACCGGCAAGAAAAAGGATATTTTAGTAATTAAATTCAACGAAAATAGTATTTATAACTAAAATATATTTTTTGCTTTAATTAACAAAAATAGGTTGATGGTTTAGATTGAAAATAAATTAAAAAATTAAGATCTAAATTAATAAAATAAAAAATTTATAATTTATTTTGTTAAGAGGGCCAAACCTTTGAAATTTTTTGTCATTGTTCCAAAAAAGTTTAACTTTTAAAAGAATTTATTTATTTATTTTTGTTATAGTTTATTTTCACTTTTTTAAACTGAGAACAAATAAGTTGAAAAATCTAAAAACTAGGACCAAACACTCCCACCTTTTCAAAGTAGAGCTTAGACATTATTATTTTAAATTTTTTAAGTTAAATAAATGAAACCAAACGCGGCATAAAACCCACTATCCAACTAGTAAATATTAGTTAAAAAAAAAAAACTAGTAAATACAAAAGGTTGATAGATAATGAAAAATTAACTTCAAAAATCAAAAAGAACAACACTGAGTTCGTCTCTCTCACATTGATCAAAACTAAAAACAAAAACCTAATTCAACACCTACACGATCAAATCAAATCAAAAATTGAAAACTTATCTATTTCAACTCCACATGAAATCAAATCAAACACAATGAACCAGATTTCAACTCCTACACGATCAATCAACACCTACAAACAACGAACATGATTTCAACTCGTACAGGATTTCAACACCTACAAACAACGAACAGGATTTCAACACCTACAAAACCCTAGAAAATCTCCACAAAAATCTGAATCGTCAAATTCATCCTCACGTAATCTCCCACAAAATATCAATATGATCTTTAGCTGCCAAATTCAAAACAATGTATATTATAAATAAGGGTAAGACAGGTATTTTACACTCTAAAATAACATTGAGGGACCTTAGGCTACAAAAGAACACATTGTGGACCTAATCCATTACTAAAAGTTGGATAGGGACCTTAAACTGATTTTCCCTTAATTAAACCGGCAAGAAAAAGGATATTTTAGTAATTAAATTCAACGAAAATAGTATTTATGTATACCTATATTGAGTTTAATAACTAAAATATATTTTTTGCTTTAATTAACAAAAATAAGTTGATGGTTTAGATTAAAAATAAATTAAAAAATTAAGATCTAAATTAATAAAATAAAAAATTCATAATTTATTTTGTTAAGAGGGCCAAACCTTTGAAATTTTTTGTCATTGTTCCAAAAAAGTTTAACTTTTAAAAGAATTTATTTACTTATTTTTGTTATAGTTTATTTTGACTTTTTTAAATTGAGAACAAATAAGTTGAAAAATCTAAAAACTAGGACCAAACACTCCTACCTTTTCAAAGTAGAGCTTAGACATTATTATTTTAAATTTTTTAAGTTAAATAAATGAAACCAAACGCGGCATAAAACCCACTATCCAACTAGTAAATATTAGTTTAAAAAAAAAAACTAGTAAATATAAAAGGTTGTGGATTGTCCCTTAATGTCCTATCATATGCACTCAAATGGGGGCAATGATTGGTGGCTACAAATTTTGTGACTCAAATAGCTTGAAAATGTCAAAACGACGTCGTTTTGGGTACAAAACAACTCTGAAAATGCCAAAATGACGTCGTTTTGACATTTTCAGACCATTTGAGTCACAGAATTTGTAGCCACCAAACATTTTTCCTCAAATTGGTGGTATAATATCAGGAAAAAGTGGACTAGTCAACCACAAAATCATAACTAGTCAACCCTGCATACTCATAACAAATCTAGACTAACAATTTTCATTTTTTAATTTTGTTTTGTTTTATTTATTTATTCTTTGTTGGGGGTGAATTTTAAGGTTATTTTTATTTTTACATTTAGATTTTTATAGATTATTATTTTTTCCCAAAAAAAAAAAAAAAAAAAAAAAAAAGAGGGAATCAGAATTATGCACTTCTTATCATGGAATACCCACATTATTGTGATGATAATTTACTTCCACTGGGACAGTTTTTTGTTCGTCTATCAAAACAATAGGATTTAATTTAAATGGTGATAAAATAATCAAGAATATATGATAATTTATATTAGGATTTTGTTAATGAGTGTCCTTAGTACACTTGATAAAAAACTTATAATGCTTGTACATAATGTATGAGAGTGTGTTCAATATGTAATTTACAATCAATTTATATATTGTTAACTAATACTTTAAGACACTCGTTAACCAAACTCTTTATATTAATTATAAGTAATTTATATATATTAATGAGATTCAGAAGCCCCGACCAAATTCAAAATTATACTGTCCCAGCCTTAAAATTTAAAGGCTGGGTTTAGATTAAAGCCGGGCCAACTTGCACCTAACTTTTAAACACACCTGTGCATTAAATGGAATTGGATTGTTCACAAGAGTTTACATGTATGCTGTATCCACAAAGACATAAAATGCAGTCTCAGAAAAATTGCACTCCTCTCTTACTCTCTAACCTCTCAGAATTTGAACAACAAGAATTGTAGAATTTTTAATTTCGATAATTAATCTGTATTATCCACATGATAATGTACAAAGGATAAATAATGGTAGGCGATGCGCACTTTTGCGAATTCTCAAGCTACATGTGAGGGTTAAGATGCGGGTGAAGTCCCAAAACGTGTTCCGGCATGAAGTCATGCCTTGTCAAGATTCCTACAATTGGAGGTCTCTGCAAAACATTGAAAAAAAACAATACACGAATCATATCCAAACCTTGTGTTGTGTAGAAGAACTTCCAAAAAAGAATTGCCAACAAGTTATAACAATTTCCAGAAATTATGTGAAGAGAAACATTATGCATTCTGGTTCAATGACACGGTCACTTCTCAGTCTGCTTGTTCTTGTTTTTGTTTTTGTTCTTCCAGTGAACAACTATCTACTTTCCTTTGAAACAATTCTTTGAGAACAGACAGATGAAAATCAGGACTACAAAAATGAAAAAAGAAGTTAATATATACTCCCTCTGATGGCGACAGTGATGGTAGCCAAGGCTGTGGCAATGGTGGTGGGGATGAGAGTGGCGGTGGTAGTGTGGTGACATTAGTAAGAGTTTAGTCTGGAAAACATTTTTTGGCTTTTAAAAATGGAAAACATTTTCTGTCAAAATAGGTTTGTTTTCCATTAACTTTCGTTTTCCATCTTACCAAACGCCAAAAAAAATGTGTCCCACCCAAACAAACGGAGCGTAACAACAACATTTATTCATCTCCAACAATTTCTATAGCTGATCCTCACTATTTTTTCCTAGTTTTCCACCCAAAGAAAGAAATAGACAGCAAGTCCACTGATTTTTTAGCAAAGCAAATGAGAGCAAATAAACAGAATAGTAAGCAAAAAGGTAGAAAGTCACCCCAGGTGTTTTTGGCACAACACACATGTGCCTGAGACCAAGCTCCCGAAACAGGACTGCAGCTTTAGCTAGGGACATTGTCTCCCCTACCGCATATGGGGATGTATTAGTGATCGGATGGAGATCGACATATAACTCCATTTCCTCCTCATTAATTTCCAAATCCTCCAGTTTGAGCCCCTTCCCCGATCCTGCCTTTGCAAAGTCAAACGCGTGAAACCTCTGTAAAATTTCTGATCCACTCAACTCCCTTTGCTTGGTAAATATCTTTCCTTTAAGCAAAACAAGCAAGTGGGATCTCAAAGCAAGCCCACACAACTCCGGCACATCTGAGAAAGGCGGCTCATCAATCACAGGGAACCCGTGGTGGTTTGTTAACTTTAGTGCATGTACTATATTGCCCACTTTCTCAACACTAGAGAATGCTATCAAGGGACCAGAGACAACATCGCTTGCAACCAAGTGCCTCATGTATGGTTCGGCATGGGCCTCCATGTAAGGCAATCCCTTCATTTTCACTATTTGGTCGTAGACCCCTTTGTTGAAACAATCGGCCACAGTTTTTGAAATAAGGAGAACTAGCATCAACAGTGGTAGAATTAATAGATCATTTGTAAGTTCGAGAAGTATGACACAAAGTGAAACTGTCATTCTCATGGTTCCACCAAGAAAGGAAGCAGCCCCGAGGAGCGCAAAGAGGCCAACATCTAAATCAGAGAAAGAGCCTAAAAGGGTCCCAACGAGTCGTCCATAGGAGGCTCCAGCAAGTATAACAGGGATGAAGAGCCCAGATGGAATGGCGATGCCATAAGTGACAATACCAAGGCAGAATATAACAACAAAGCAAATTAAAAGGGTTGAGAGATGAAACTCGTATATAGTGCCAGAGCTAAATAAGTTGCGGATGACATCATCGTTGGTGTTGAGCAAGAGGGAGGCAAGGTCGTTGTAGTAGCCTGGTGGACACTGGAAGCTCTTATAGTTTCCAGAGTGACCTGTGCCGGGGCATTCAACTTCAAGCCCAGTGGGGCATGGGGTGCACTTCACCAACCATGGAAGGCCATAAGAGCAACAAGAGGTCAGGAGGGAGATGGCGACAACAAGAAAGATTTTGAATCTGGGACCTCTCCTGCAATTTCATTCTCAATAATCAGCAAGAGCAAAACACTACCACAGATTTTGCATAACAGGTTGAAAGCTCATGAGATCATGTTAAGTTTGGAATAATTTCGTCTAAAAGTTGGAGTCTTGGGAGCTAAATTAGCTAATCAAGCAGAGGATATCACGCCATATAAAAATTGGTCAAGTACAAATTATTTCGCATATAAAAAGAAGAAAATAAAGTAATGAAATGAAATTAATTGTTTTAAAAATGAAACCAATTTACCACCAGATTTATTATCATGAAAAACTCTGCCGAGGATGTCTAACAACTCTGCCAATCCCAAGCCCGGGTAAAGGAGGAGGGTTGTGTGTTAGGTAACCAACAACCAACAGGTAAAAACACCGCTCGGATCCCTTATGAAAATGATTCCTACTTTGAATCGATTAAATGCTAGGTCGTTCCCCCTAAGTTACGCGTTGCGCCTGCCTCCAGATGTTTCGAAAAGTTGAGCAAGGGGCGCCGCATCGACGCCTGGGGGCAATGAAAATTGACAGCAAGAGCAAAACACTACCACAGATTTTGCATAACAGGTTGAAAGCTCATGAGATCATGTTAAGTTTGGAATAATTTGGTCTAAAAGTTGGAGTCTTGGGAGCTAAATTAGCTAATCAAGCAGAGGATATCACGCCATATAAAAATTGGTCAAGTACAAATTATTTCGCATATAAAAAGAAGAAAATAAAGTAATGAAATGAAATTAATTGTTTTAAAAATGAAACCAATTTACCACCAGATTTATTGTCATGAAAAACTCCGCCTAGGATGTCTAACAACTCTGCCAATCCCAAGCCCGGGTAAAGGAGGAGGGTTGTGTGTTAGGTAACCAATAACCAACAGGTAAAAACACCGCTCGGATCCCTCATGAAAATGATTCCTACTTTGAATCGATTAAATGCTAGGTCGTTCCCCCTAAATTACGCGTTGCGCCTGCCTCCAGGTGTTTCGAAAAGTTGAGCAAGGGGCGCCGAATCGACGCCTAGGGGCAATGAAAATTGAGCAAAGGTTGCTGTGTTTTCCCAGACGAGCGCAAATAAAGAAGCTAGTCCAAGACTATAGGTGTAGGGTGGCCACATGAAATGTAAGAATTTTAACTGGTAAGACTATGGAATTGGTAGATGTCATGATTAGGAGGAGAGTTAGTATAGCTTTCATATCAGAAACTAAGTAGACGAGTGCGAAAGTTAGGGAAATAGAGGATACCGGTTTTAAACTATATTATAGTGGCAAGGATAGACACAGCAATGAGGTAGGAATAATAGTTGCCAAGGATCTTGTAGAAAATATAGTTGCGGCCATTAGGAAAGGTGATAGGATTATGTTCGTTAAACTAATTACTGGAGAGAATATAGTGAACGTTATTAGTGCATACGCTCTCCAAGTAGGATTGAATAATCAGACAAAGAGATTTTTGGGACCAAATGGATGAGGTATTATAGGAGATACCCGTAGGAGAGAACCTAGTTATAGGTGAAGATTTCAATAGCCATGTAGGAATCGATAAACTAGGTTATGAAAGGGTGCATGGTGGGTATGGTTTTGGTGATAGAAATGAGACTGGAGAGAGTATTTTAGATTTTGTGTTGGTTTCTGACTTGGTGGAGGCCAATACTAGGTATAAAAAGAGAGGAGCATTTAATAACATTTAAGAGTGGGTCAATTAGGAGCCAAATAGATTACTTTCTAGTAAGAAAAGTAGACTGTCTAAAGTGCAACGATTGTAAGGTAATTCCTGGAGAGAGCCCGACGTCTCAACAAAGGATACTTGTACTAGATTTATGCTTTAAAAGGCAATACCAAGCTAGGAAGGATAGTGGGCGTCGTAGGACAAGATGGTGGGACCTAAAAGGGGATAAGTTAGAAATATTTAACAAAAGAATAGATATAGAAGGTATTGGGACTTGGAAGATGATGCTGATACTATGTGGAACTTGATGGCCAATTGTATGAGTAGAATCTCAAGGGAAGTCCTTGGAGAGTCGAAAGGAAAGGGGCTCAACTCTAAGGAAACTTGGTGGTGGAGGAAGGAGGTTCAAGCAGCAGTAAATACGAAAAAAAAAGTGCTTTAAAAGTGGCAGAAAGATAGAATTGAAGAAAACCTTAAGAGCTACAAATTGGCTAATAAGGAGGTCAAAAAGGTAGTGAGAGAGGCTAAGTTGAAAGCCTATGATGACCTATGTAACACCCTGTCCCACATCGGAAGTTTGCATGGGTGATCTTGGGCATATATAGCACCACTACCTTGCTACTAAATAACTTGGACTTAAGCTTTTGGGTATTGTTGGTTGACCCACAAGTTATTTGGGCCAGCAAGTAGTGGGGCGTTTACAAATGGTATCAGAGCCGACCCATGCACACAACCATGTGGGCCACTTATTCTGGGCTGGCCACGAGCTTGTCGTCGTATTCTGATTGATTATAGACCCTCGCGAGGACGCGAGGATTTATAAGTGGGGGAGTTTGTAACACCCTGTCCCACATCGGAAGTTTGCATGGGTGATCTTGGGCATATATAGCACCACTACCTTGCTACTAAATAACTTGGACTTAAGCTTTTGGGTATTGTTGGTTGACCCACAAGTTATTTGGGCCAGCAAGTAGTGGGGCGTTACAACCTATACACTAAACTAGATAGTAATGAGGGAGATAAGAGAATATACTAACTTGCTAAAATGAGAGAGAGGAAAATAAGAGATGTTAATTAGGTTAAGTGTATCAAGAGTGAAGACTCTAAGGTGTTAGTGAAAGATGAAGAGATTAAGGAGAGGTGGAAGAACTATTTTGAGAAGTTGTCAAATAAGGAACATGGAGGAAAGTCAAAAGGGGAGGAAGTAGACAGTAACAAGGAAAACCAAGCTATAAGTTCTATCACATGATTAGGAACTTTGAAGTGGAGATTGTACTTAAGAATATGAAATTGAATAAAATTTTAGGACCCGATAATATTCCTAAAAAGGGGATTGCTTGGTTGACTAGGTTATTTAGCAAGATTTTGTTGATTAGGAAAATGCTAGAGTGGAGGACGAGTATTTTAGTGCCAATTCATAAATAAAAGAGATGTCAAGAATTGCAACTAAAGAGGAATCAAACTGATGTGTCATATAATGAAAGTGTAGGAGAGAGTGATGAAATGTCGATTGCAAGATATAACAGATGTGTCAGAGAATCAATTTAGATTTATGCCGGATAGGTCAACAATGGAAGCGGTCTATCTTTTGAGGAGAGTAATAGAAATGTATAGAGAAAAGAAAAGAGACATTCATATGATTTTTATCAATCTTGAGAAAGCATACGATAAAGTACTTCGAGATATAATCTGGTGGGTGTTTGAGAATAAAATGGTGACAAAGGTTATATTGATATGATTAGGGACATGCATGAAGGTGTGGTGATCACTATTAGATCGCCTGCTAAAAAGGCAAGTGAAAGTAAATTTCCAATTATTGTGGGGCTACACTACGGATCAACTTTAAATCTTTATCTTTTTGCTTTAGTTATGGATAAGTTGACAATAAATATTCAGGATGACATGCCATGGTATATGCTTTTTGCAAATGATATCGTGTTAGTGGGTGAGACTAGAGAAGGAGTTAAAACTAAGTTGGAGACATGGAGAGAAGCACTTAAATCTAAAGAATTTAGGATAATTAGAACTAAAACAGAGTACATAAAGTGTAATTTTAGTAACACTAACCATGGAAGTAGAGGAGAAGTGAAGATTGAGAACCAAGAACTGCTTAAGAGTGAACATTTTCGTTATTTAGGATCGATTATCACAACGGTTGGAGAGATTGGAGCGAAAGTGGTCCATAGAATTAAGACATGATGGGTTAAGTGGAAGAGCGCGTCTGAGGTACTGTGTGATAAACGAGCACTAGACTAAAAGAAAAGTTATATAGAACAGCTATAGACCAGTGATGTTGTATGAGACGAAATGTTGAGCAACTAAGAAACATGTAGATAAGATGCGTGTTGCTGAAATGAGGATGCTAAGGTGGATGTGTGGCAAGACTAGAAAAGACAGTATTATGAGTATATTCGTGAATGGGTAGGAGTACCACCGATAAAAGATAAGTTGAAAGATAATAGATTGAGATGGTTTGGTCATATACAACAGAGGCCAACATAAGCAGTAGTGAAGAGATGTGATTGAGTGACGGTAGATGGAAGTGTTGGGGGAAGGGGCACACCTAACTTGACGTGGGCAAGTGTAGTAAATAAAGATATAAATCTCCTCAATTTGATTAACCAAATGGCCATTAATAGAATTGAGTGGAAAAGAAGGATTCATGTAGTCGACCCCATTTAATGGGACTTAAGGTTTGGTTTGGTTTGGTTATTTATTATGATGAAAAGTTGATTGGATATTGAAATACAATATTTATCATTATGTGACACACGCTTTACAAAAATATTGGGTAGATTTCTGAATTCTATTTCCAATTAAATCAGCTAATTGTCACTTCAATGGCATTCAATAACTATAATAAGTTGTATTCTTATTAATAAAAGAGGGATTACGAGGGCATACTCATTGATGATACTGTAAGTGCGAAGAACCTTGTCCACAAGATAATTGTAAAAACTTCCGAAAATACCTCCAATAATTCCAAGTAATATAATTGCCAATAAATCTGGTGCATTGTAAGATGGCACTGCAGAATTGACATCAAACATGATCAGACCTCCTTTCCCAAATAGTCCACATTTTCCACTCTCACAAAATTCTATCAGAGATCTCAAAACCACAGCTACTACAGCAGTTGTGAAAAAAGTCCTCCAAAGAAGAGCACTCCGCCACCTAAAAGACATAAAGTAGGATAAGGTAAGTGCCTACAGAAGAATGAACTTCAAAGCTCTATTCACAATTACAAGAGAAAAGAAAGCAAAACTAGATATCTGAACAATTTCATCATTCCTTTAGGTTACCAAGTGATCACCGTGCTCTACTTCAATTCATACCTCGTTTTATTTTTTTCACTCTTTCATCCGTTTTTTCTCTCCAAGTAACTTTATACTGTAGATATGGACATCAAGCAGAACAAAACATTGACAAAAACAACTAACAAAATTGAAGCCATGGTTTGCAAAAGAAGCCAGATATAAATCTACAGAGTTAACATGTTCGCTAATCCCTTGTTATCAACAAACATGATCTCGGATGTAATGATAATGAATCCAACGACAATACGAGTCGAAATGTACAGGTTGTGTGTGCATGTGTGTGTGTGTGTGTGAGAGAGAGAGAGAGACCATGAAGCTACTTCTTCAAGAGCAAAGAGAACTCCGCCAACTGGGGCACGGAAGGCAGCTGCTACACCAGCAGCAGCTCCACAAGTGATCAAATCCCGCCGATCCCTATCATTTTTGAAGTATCTGAGCCATTTCCAAGTCAAATGGTACTTGCGGGAACCTCCCTGTCCAAGTAAATTGGCTATGCAGGCGCCAGTATGTACCATGGGTCCTTCCTTTCCCACAACAAATCCAGCAGCAACTCCAAATATGGAACCAAAAATCTGTCAGAATTGAAATGCATTGAAAATAAGTTTATGATAGCAGCCGTGAAGCAACTAACAGTCTGAGCAAGCCTCGAGAAAAACAAACCATTCTAATTTTCACCTTGCTAAATCAAAACTCACTCTGAGCACTAAAGTGGCATACATACACTAATATAACAATCTATTGACATGCAATGAGGTTCAAACTACTATAGCCAATAAAAAAGAAGCAGAAAAAAATTTAAATCTTACATGGATTAACAGCAAAACAATGAGTTGTGTCAGTCTGCATGCTAAGTCTCGAGTGCTTGGTGATAAGATTTAGGGTAAATTACACTTGGCACCCTTGCACTTTCACCAAAATCTCACTTTAGTCCTTCCACTTTCAATTTCCATTAGCTTTATTAACGGTAGATGGATGGAAGGGTAAGATTAACTCAATTTAAAGTGTAGGGGGTTGGACAGCTTGCTTAGTTTCAGGTGGACACCGCCCTCGTCCCGATATCCTCACCATTAGTAGGAAGCCAGCAAGCGCCTGTAGTTCCTGATGTATTTCTGGAAAGGGGGGAGATAGCATTATAGGACTGCCTAGGAGGGAACTCAATAACATCGTAGAGCGAGTGTCGATCCCCCATCCGCGAGGGGAATTCTCCGAGGAGAGCAGCAGGCTGCATTAAACCTGGCAACGTAGCTCGTCCAGCCGTTTATGAGACAGGTTTTGGGGCTGACCAACGCTTCCTCCCAGCTCATTAGACAGCTCGGAAAACTGATTATAATTTAAAGTGTAGGGAGTTGACTACTACAATTGAAAGTGAAGGGGCTAAAGTGAGATTTTTGTGAAAGTGTTAGAAAAGAACTAAAGTGAAATTTTAGTAAGAGTGTAAGGGTGTTAATGAGACAACAAAAATGTCACATATGCTTCAAATGAAAATTTTTGTCAACTTCGTTAATGGAAGATGGATGGAAGGGAGAGAATGCACCTTGACTTAAAGTGTAGGGAGTTAACTGTTACGGGACTAAAGTGAGAGTTTGGTAAAAGTACAATAGCACTAAGTGTAATTTACCCTAAGATTTAAGTGACAAGGGTAGACGCAGAAAATTACAAATAAGAATGGTTATATTGAAAATGGGACTGAAACTTCAGATTTGAATTCATGTACTTTTCAGAAGAGACGAGATTGAAACCAAACCAATGGAATATACTTGTCTAGTCAGTATAAACTCAATTCTGTTAACATTGGAAAAGTATCAGCAAATGCTGTCTAGGTGTTCAAATTTCTCATTCGGGATGTGTGACATGTTGAAACATGTTTAACTCGCTAAGTTAATAGACTTAAATGGTCCTTTCTTGTGCCTAAGGAAAATGAAAACATACTTGTTATGTACTCTCAAGCTCCGTCTCCTTGTTGATGAGACAAGATAGAGAAATAAAAGCTAGGAACACTCAAAAAGGTTGATGTGTGTAAGGACAACTGTAAGATTCCAAATCTAAATTATTATTTTTAGCTTCTTCCTCTAAGGACAAGGAACGTTTGAGAGAGAGAGAGAGAGAGAGAGACGCAATAAAAGAAATAGAAAGCAAGGACTATGAACACGTACAGAAGAGGAGTGATCTTCACCTAAAATTCAGAGGAAATGGGCTAAACAATGACAGAAAAAAGAGCAAACCAAAGCAAAGATGAAAAACTCAAAATGGATCATTAGGTAGTATCATAGCATGCTATCAAGAAGATATACATACTCCTTTAAGGGCAAGAGAATTGGTCCTTGACTCACTGAATGAAGAGTCCAATTGGGGAAAAAATTAGTCTGACAAAGACATAGGCAACTATCTAAGATGTGACACCAATGCTAAGGACAAGTAGAACAATTAGCCAACTAAAAAAAGACCACTACTAGTTTCCTTCCACAAGAAAATGGCTAAATCTCTAAATATACATTTCTTGATGCCCCAACTGAAATACTGAATTTCAGATTAAAATGAACAGAATGGAGAGACACAAACATATAGCATTAGTCACTGGTCACGCCAGATGCCCTCTAATGCACAACTAATTCATAAATATATCATAACTAATTCAGAAATAATTCACAAGGTAATTGACTTTAGTGTGTTTGTGCGTGTTAGAGACAGAGAGAATTATAGTGAGGTTCTGACAAACCTTTACAAAGAGGGTACTTGGAGCCAAAATAGAATGAGCATCCACACCATTGAGATAGGCTTTCACCTCAGGTATGCCAGAGCCGGCTGCAGCAGGGGCAATATAAGCACAGAGGGCTGCAGCAACAATTGCCAAAACCAGGTTACAACCTGCATATGCTGCAAAAGCCTGATAGTACCTGCACTGGAATTAGAGCCACTTATAGTTACTCTGTTGGGGTAGAAAATAATTTTATGGGATGTCCTATGGCCTACTATTATTTTAGATATTACAAAAACAAAAAGAAAACCAAGCTTTTTGGGTGCAAGTGTGAAAATTAACTGCCAATGACCATGAATTTTATACAAGTAACAACCAAATGCCCAAGTCATTGATGTAATAGTAATAGTATCAATTTTAATGGATTCATCACACTCCAATAACAGTGTGCATAACATACACCACCAAGCCACATGGAACTATATGAAACATGAGATCAAGCAAAAATTTACTCCTTCCTCAAGAAATGCACGGCATTTCAATTGTACACAATTTTAAATAGTTCTCTTGCTTACAGTACAGGAATCAAGGTTTTAAAAAGCGGTGTTACGTAACGGTTGCTGTAATAAATGCTACCCGTTACACCCGTATTTCAATTGTAAACAACTTTAAATAGTTCTCTTGCTTACAATACAAGAATCAAGGTTTTAAAAAGTGGTGTTACGTAACGGTTGCGGCTGCTACGTAACGGTTGCGGCAGTAAACGCTACCCGTTACACCCACTTTTGCGGTGTGATGGAAATTCACATGTGTAACGGCCGTTTTGGTATTTGTGGCCACACCGTTACAATATTCTGAATAGCTTCTTTTTCAAAGAAAAAAAAAAAATTTCTTACAAAAAAAGAATGAATACTCAAGTGATCCAAGTCTAAAGAAAAAACCTTGTATGAATTTTTTTTTTCTTTATAATTTAATTTTTAATTTTTATTTCATTACATTTGCATGTAAAACAAAAAAATATATAAATAGTGGTTGTATTTCTTTTTATAAATCATTTCATTTAATATTTAATTGCAAATATTTTATATTTTGTTACTGTAATGTGTTGTCTAAAAAGTGTCTTTAAAAAATAATCAGTAACTCAAAAATAATTTTTATTTATGGCACAATTTTTATTTTTATAATCATTTCATTTATTACTTAATAGTAAATAATTTTATTTGGTTAGCTGTAAAGTGTTGTTTGAAAAAATGTCTTTTAAAAAAAAAAAATCATTGACTCAAAAAATAAATTTTGTTTATAACACAATTTTTTTTTATAATCATTTCATTTAATAATTGTAAATATTTTATATTTAGTTAGTTCAGGTATTGGTCAAAAATAATTTTATAAACATTTAAAATCAATTATTCTTAAACTCATTAACTATTTAAATAAAATGTAAAAAACTCATTTTATAGTGATTTAAAAATATGAAATATATTGGATCATACTTAAAAATTAACAAAAATTAATCAAGATCTATTTTAAACCCTTATAAATGTGATTTTGAAGAAAAAACAATATGCATATCGGTAATTTTTTTTCAAATTATGCGAAAAATTAAAAAATTTACGGTTCCGGTTACAACAACCGTTATGTTATGGCCTTTACACCCCGCAACTGCAACCGCACTATCGCAACCGTTACTACGACCGCTTTTCGAAACCTTTGGGAATGAGTCATTATGAATGTACAAATGTGATGGCCAAAATACAATTGGACATCTCAGTGTACCTCCAATTGTTACTGTTGGAATATGGAATATTGTATATTTAATTTAGGAATTTAATTTTAGGGTTTGATTGTGTAATTATTTAATTCCTTTTTCATGTATCTTATATTGATTATATATAGACATGGTTTCACCCAAATTAGGGTAAACCAATATTTTATAACTCTCTTCTTGGTATCAGAGTCAAACCCTAGCCACCTACCACCCTTATCTTCTATTGCTGGCGGCCCTAAACCACCTACCCAGCCACGTGATAGCCCTTCTTCTTCCCTCCACCCGGCCGAAAGTTTTCCTCTTCCTTCTCAGCCCCTCGACAGTCCCTTTTCCTCACTGCCGCAACTTCCTTAGGTGCCAACTAGGCCTTCCCTGCCTTGGGTCTAGTGCAGCTTCCCCTCCTGGGTGTTGTTCTTCTCTCTTTACCCTTCTAGGGTTCATGTGCTGATGTGATAAACACTTTCTAGTTTGATTTTCTATTGTGTTGGGCTACCGGGGTATTCAGTAGCATCTCTTTTATGTGACGCCACTACTTAGGCTTCGTGGTGCTCTCTTCTTGGTCACCTTCAAGAGCAACTTGGTTCCCTTCAAGAGCAACTTGGTTCATTCACTACCATGTCTCCAAGTGTTCCTTCCACTGCTACGCTCGCTACAGGTACTCCTACAGCCTTTCATGTTCGCACTGCACCTATTTGGGTATTGGATTCTGGGGCCAATGATCATATGACCGGTGAGTTTTCTTGTTTATCCTCTCCTGTCTCTATTACTGCTCAGACTGTATGTCTTGCTGATGGGTCTATTTCACATGTCCAATATAAGGGTGATGTGTCATTGTTATCTAATATTACACTTACTTTTGTCTTACGTGTGCCCCGTTTTGCTTATAATCTTGTATGTGAGTCGCCTTGCTAAAAACCTTCATTGTGCTGTTATCTTCTTACCTACTCATTGTTTATTACAGGACCTGACTTCGAAGAAGATTTTTGGCAGGGGGTTTGAGCGCGACGGGCTATACTACTTCGGGGACCCACTACCTTCTCATCTTACCACTTACCACTTCTGGCCTGCAAGCAGCTGTGTTACCTGAGTCGTCTTCCTATGTGTTTTCTTTTCAAACTTTAGCCTTGTGGCATGCTCGTTTAGGACATGCAAATTTTAATTATTTATGTTTATTTTTTCTGTCACTTAATAAAGCTTGCAAGGATCATCAGTTTCATTGTGTTGTTTGTGAACTGTCTAAACATACTCGTACTTCTTATATTCCTCGCATGTATCGTGCCTCCTGTATGTTTGACCTTATTCACTCTGATATCTGAGGTCTTTCTCCTCTTTTGGCTTCTATCTTTATTAAGAATGGCTGATAAGAAATATCTAAAAAAGAAAAAAGGCAAGATGGTGATATTACATCTTTATTAAGAATGGTTGATAAGAAATATCTAAAAAAGAAAAAAGGTAATATGGTGATCTTACATAGGAAACTTTATTAACTTCTTATCCTACTAAACTACCTGATTATTATTCAAAATAACATTTTTATTGATTTAAGTCTAAATATTTTATATTTATAACATATATTTAACATCTAAATGTGTAGATATATGTTTTTAAGTAATTTAGAAAAAGTGACCGAATCTTTACGATTCACGATTCGATTCGATTCGCGATTCGGTACAAGACCATTTCGATTCACGATACGAATCTCGATTTGACAACTATGTTCGTGGTGCTCTCTTCTTGGTCACCTTCAAGAGCAACTTGGTTCCCTTCAAGAGCAACTTGGTTCATTCACTACCATGTCTCCAAGTGTCCCTTCCACTACCACACCCATTACAGGTACTCCAATAGCCTTTCATGTTCGCATTGCACCTACTTGGGTATTGGATTCTGGGGCCAATGATCATATGAGTGGTGAGTTTTCTTGTTTATCCTCTCCTGTCTATACTATCGCTCAGACTGTATGTCTTGTTGATGGGTCTATTTCACATGTCCAACATAAGGGTGATGTGCCCTTATCGTCTGATATTACACTTACTTTTTTCTTATATGTGCCCTGTTTTGCTTATAATCTTTTCTCTGTTAGTCGCCTTGCTAAAAACTTTCATTGTGCTGTTATTTTCTTACCTACTCATTGCTTATTACAAGACCTAACTTCGAAGAAGATTTTTGGCAGGAGGTTTGAGCACAACGGGCTATATTACTTTGAGGACCCTACACCTTTCCATCCTATCACTTCTGGCCTGCAAGCAGCTGTGTTACCTGAGTCGTCTTCCTATGTGTTTTCTTTTCAAACTTTAGCCTTGTGGCATGCTCATTTAGGACATGCAAATTTTAATTATTTATGTTTATTTTTTCCGTCACTTAATAAAGCTTGCAAGGATCATCAGTTTCATTGTGTTGTTTGTGAACTATCTAAATATACTTGTACTACTTATATTCTTTGCATGTGTCATGCCTCTTGTATGTTTGATCTTATCCACTCTAATAAGTGGGGTCATTTTCTCGTTTTGACTTTTTCTAGGCATAGGCATTATGTGTGACTCTCATAGATGATTACTCTAGGTGTACTTGAGTTTATTTTCTTAAAAAGAAGTCTAATGTCCTTCCACTTTTTATTCAATTTCATGAAATGGTCAAAACCTAATTTTACACTATTGTGCACAATATTTTCCCTAATAACCAGAGTGGGGGAGTACATCTCTGATGCATTCTGCTTCCAACTTAATCAGCAGGGAATTTTGTAGCAACTTACTGTGTGTTCTTGTTGATTTGGGCTATCAATTTGTTCGGTGGCACCTCTTGTTGATTTGGGCTTGACACTTAGGCTAACTTATTTCAACATTACAATACATGTTTTTCCCAAATTCACCCATTTTTTTCAAAATGATAAACATTTCTAATATATAAGCGTGAGATAATGCTCAATGCAAATGAATAAAAAAATAATTTCAATTCTCCTAATTCACATACAATTTCTACAACACTCATAGCCATCCTCCACCAATAACCCAAAATAGATATTTCTAAATAGATAAACAATTATCAATAGATGGGATCTTCTTCGGGACACCGGTATGATGGGGTGCAAGCCAATTTCTACTCCTATGTATCCGAATTTGAAACTTTCGGCTGAGTCTAGTGAGTTGCTTTCTGATCCAACTCGCTACCAAAGATTGGTAGGACGTTTGATCTATTTGACTAATACACGACCAGACTTGACATTTGCTATAAGTGTGGTTAGTCAGTTTATGCATTCACCTCGTACTGCTCACCTTGATGATGTTCCCACATCTTGAGATATCTCAAGTCATGTCCAGGTTTGGGTTTATTCTTCAATGGTGGGATTTAGACAGGATTGTCCTGTTTTACTGATACAAACTATGATGGTTCATTGACTGATAAACGTTCCACTTCTGGGTTATGCACCTTCCTTGGTACCCATCTTCTGTCATCGAAAAGCAAAAAACAAGCTGTTGTTTCTCGATCATCTGCTGAAGCTGAATACCGCGCCATGGCTCATGGGACATGTGAGTTACTATGGCTTCGGTCCATTCTTACTAAAGTTAAGCTTTGAGGAGAATAATTCCTCCAAGCTATTTTGTGACAATAAGTCTGCCATCTTACTTGCCTCTGATTCTGTGCTTCATTAGCGTACTAAGCATATTGAGGTTGATATTCATTTTATCCGAGAAAAGGTTCAAGCTGGCATTGTATGTCCTTCATTTGTTTCATCTTCTGATCAGATTGCCGACAACTTCACCAAATCTGTAGGACCATCCCTACTTCGATCTTCCATTAACAAGTTGGGGTTGGTTGACATCTTTGATTTAGCTTGAGGGAGAGTGTTAGAGGATGGAATGTTAGAATATAGAATATTATATATTTAATTTAGGAATTTAATTTTAGGGTTTGATTGTATAATTATTTAATTCTTTTTTTATGTATCTTATATTGATTATATATAGACATGGTCTCACCCAAATTAGGGTAAGCCAATATTGTATAACTCTCTTCTGTTACAGAATTCAAGTCCGGATAAGAAGATGAATGGTCCAAAACAATATTCCAAACTAGCAATGAAAATTGTGGCACCAAAAATAAATGTACCGGATTTATTGATCAATGAAGACAATGTTTTAATAATAATAACCTCAGAGATGACGTAAAGTGATCCAAATGTGACGATATTCCAAACTAACAACGAAAACTCTAGCACCAAAAGTAAAAGTACTCTACAGAACCAGAGGAATTAATCAATAAAGACAACACAGGCTTACTTTTCATGGAGCATGAGATTGCTAGTAAGTAGAAGCTTAAAACCGGCAACATTCTCAACAGCAAGGTTATTAAAGAAGCCCACCAATCCTGTACTTAATCCTATAAGAAGTGCAAATGTCCACTTGAGAGCAACATACTGATATATCTGAACCTTTTTCCTAGACCTCCAGTCCTGCTTGAAAAGATAATTTTCAATAATCCTGCAAAAATACATAACAATCAAGGTTTTAAAAAGCGACGTTATGTAACAGGTGCGGTCGTTACTTAACGGTTGCGGTGGTGAATATTACCCATTACACCCGTGTTGTGTGTGACGGAAATTCACATGTGTAATGGCTGTTTCGATATTACGTAATGGCCATAACGGCCCATTACACACCATTATAATATTTTGAATAGCTTTTTTGCAAAGAAAAAAAAAATCATACCCAAAAAAAAAAAAACGAATATTCAAGTGATCCAAGTCTAAGGAAAAAACATTGTATGAATTTTTTTTCTTTATAATTTAATTTTAAATTTTTATTTCATTACATTAGCATGTAAAATAAAAAATATATAAATAGTGGTTGTATTTATTTTATAATCATTTCATTTAATATTTAATTGTAAATATTTTTTTATTTTGTTACTAGTGGCGTAACCAGGAATTTGATGGAGAGGGGGCACAAATTAATAATAAGATCAGTGTGTTTGGTTTGAGTTTTTTGGATTAAGTTTTTTAAAAATTGAATTTTTTGATTTTCATGTTTTTTGGTTTTTGGTGAATATTTTTAAAATTTTAAAAATATTTTTTTACTTTTTTAGATGAATTTTACTTAGATGTATTTAAAAAATTTGTGAAAAAATATTTTAAAAAATTAATAAATACATAAAAATACAAATAATGTACAAAATTTTCATATATATATACATATATGTATTTTTGTATTTTTGGTATTTAGTGAATTTTTAAAAGGTTTTTTTCACAAATTTTTTACTTTTTAGGTATATTTATGTTAGATATATCTAAAAATTAAAAAAAATGCTTAAAATATTAAAAAAATTCAGTAAAAATAAATAAAAAATCCAAAAAACAAGAAAATGGAATTTTCTGAAAAGTATTTTTGGAAAACTCTAACCAAGCAATTTTTTTATTTTATTTATTTTTATAATAAACAACAATGAGATATTACTAAACTTAAATATTAAGAGTGCATTTGGATAAATGTGAATTTTAAATTATAGAATTTGAGATTAAATTTTATATAAATATTGGGGAGTAACTATTTATAGGTTGATTGAAAAATTAAAAAAAAAGATAAGTCGAGATAGAAATAATATATTTTAGTAGAGAAATTCTATAAAACACACCATAAAAAAAGTGTCTATCATATGTCGTAATTATGATTTTCGTGGTCTTTAGTTATGACACATTATAGTGTTAGATATAATTTAGCTATAACTTTTTGTGGTTGTTATTTTGGCTATTACTATATATCAAGTAATAGTTAATTATGACTCATTTTAATATTAGTTATGACCTATTGTAATTTTTTATTTTTTTTTTATAATTGAAGATGCGTTACTTGATTATAATTTATATAGTGGTCATTTTAGTTATGAATGGAAAAAAACATAGGAAGGACAAACTCTACATGTCAAATGTACGTAACAATCCAATAAATTTCATAATTATGATTTTCGTGGTCTTTAGTTATGACACATTGTAGTGTTAGATATAATTTAGCTATAACTTCTTGTGGTTGTTATTTTGGTTATTACTATATATCAAGTAATAGTTAATTATGACTCATTTTAATATTAGTTATGACCTATTGTAATTTTTTATTTTTTTTTTATAATTGAAGATGCGTTACTTGATTACAATTTATATAGTGGTCATTTTAGTTATGAATGGAAAAAAACATATGAAGGACAAACTCTACATGTCAAATGTACGTAATAATCCAATAAATTTCATATATCTTCATTGAAGTTAGTTATGTTTGCATGTCAATAATTATAAACATTACCATTATATTGAAATTTTTATAAATAATAATATAATTTATCATAGTCTCTTTACTTTCAATCAAAATAACCATTATTGTTCTCATAATTTTAAAAATGTCATTAACATTTCACTTTAAATAATATTTTTATAAATTTTTTTATTTAAAATATTTTCTTTATGTTTAAAAAAAAAATCCAAAATCCTAGGGGGGCACGTGACCCCCCTGGGCCTTGAGTGCCTCCGCACTGTATAATGTGTTGTCTAAAAAATGTCTTTAAAAAATAATTAGTAACTCAAAAATATTTTTTATTTATGACACAATTTTTATTTTTATAATCATTTCATTTATTACTTAATAGTAAATAATTTTATTTAGTTAACTGTAAAGTATTGTCTAAAAAAATATTTTTAAAAAAATAATCATTAACTCAAAAATATTTTTTGTTTATGGCATAATTTTTTTTTATAATCATTTCATTTAATAATTATATATTTTTTTATTTAGTTAGTTCAGATATTGGTCAAAAATAATTTTACAGACATTTAAAATCAATATTCTTAAAGTCATTAACTACTGAAATAAAATGTAAAAAGCTCATTTTATAGTGATTTAAAAATATGAAATATACTGGATCATACTTAAAAATTAACAAAAATTAATCAAAATCTATTTTAAACCCTTATAAATGTGATTTTCAAAAGAAAAAAAGTATACGTATCGGTATTTTTTTTTTTCAAATTGTGTGAAATATTAAAAAATTTACGATTCCGATTACCGCAACCATTACAATACGGCATTTACACCCTACAACCACAACCGCCAAGACGACTGCAATCATTTTTTGAAACCGTACAACTCACGCATTGAATGTTTCAGTTCCAGGTACAGTGACACAATTATGGCTTATAATACTATGAATCACCGCAAATAGTGTCCTTAATAAATCAGTAGATTTTTCTAACATAATCTAATCATTTCATTTATAGACAAAGTAGGAGCACACTAGTAACTAAAAATATTTTGTTCTACATTCCAAGTGCACATAACCAAACAAGCAAGGACAATGCTTCGGAAAAAAGTAAACAATTCCTTCACATACTTTGGAATTGAACAAAATAACAACCCAAAGTGCAAATAAAGTGTATATGTAATTAATGCTAATTGATGCAGCTTATATGAGGTAATTCTAGCCTTTTACCCAAAATAAAAAAAGAACAAAGAAAAAGTAGAGAGAATAATTTGATAACTCGAGACTTTTTCGTTCTTAACTAAGAATCAAGGTTCCCATATATAAGGCCTGAAAGTCGTGCAGTTTCTGCTTAAAGTTTAGGAAAAACTAACTAAAAATCTTTATGTGGTTGTCTTATAAAATTTTTGCAATAATCATCAGCCCAAACGTTGACCTCAAATGTTTCCACACACGTCTATCTCTCTCTCTCTCTCTCTCTCTCTCTCTCTAAAGCACCAGATCGTGAAAAAATAATGGAGTCTACATCAAATAATTGCTTTCTTGATGGATCCAAGATCAAATATCTGTTTTCAAATCACACATACTAACGGTTGATATATATAATTCAAATAAGGAAAACTAAAATAAAATATTTATAAGGTTGGAGTCTCATTTCTCCCATTCCTTCCATCTATAAGAGCAGAACCAAGCAAAAATTGGACATGATGTCCATAATAGTGTAAAAATGTTAGACATACTAAAAATTTTATCAAAGATTTTACATGAGTGCGAGACACACGTAGATGTACATGGGACTTAATTTTTGAAATTTTTAGCATTAGATATACAATCATTATCTTCTCCACAAAATAATCTCCAAATAAGCAAATGACATAAATTTTCAGCAAAAAAATTGAATGCGTACTCATAATCGAGGCTTTCAATGGGGCAAACATTAGCCCCAACAATGGCAATCTGAGAGGTAGTGTTCGTCCTCCTGCTCTTCACCAGAAGAGGCTCTCTGATCATCCCACCGCTCAAACTCTTCTCCGAAAACGACGATCCATTTCTCTGCAACTCATTCTCTTCGTACACCATTCCTTCACTCTCTATATCATTCACATCCCCCTGATTCTGCTCCATATCTCTCTCTCTCTCTCCCAAGTCTTCAATCAATTTAGAGAGAGATGATACAGAAAGTTCGGAGGCTAGCGAGGGAGAATTGAAAACAAAAAAATCTGAAGGTAGAGAGAGAAAGTGGAGAGAGAGAGAGAGAGAGAGAGAGAGGGCTTTTAGTTGTGAAATTGGGTGCCTTATTTTATTATTCATTTATGACGAAGTTAGTAGGAGGAAACACCATTTTAGGCCTTGTTTTTGTATAATTTAAAAAAAAGTTAAAAAATTGCTTTTTTATTTAAGTTACATCATTTTATTTAAATTATATTATTTTTTTAACATATTATTTCGAACTTAATTCATATTTCATAAAAAATTAAAAATTGTATTTATTTAGGGGTGGTTTGGGATAATTTATATAAGTGTACTTTTTGACTTTTTATGAAATATGCGTTGAGTTTGAAGTTACGTAATAGAGAAGTGATGTGACTTAAATAGAATGATATGACTTAAATAAAATAATAATTTTTTGACTTCTTAACTTTTTTTTAAAGATACCAAACCAATCCTTATCCCAAACCACCCTTTACATCTCAAACTTTTACATATTTTTTAAGTTGACTTTAAATTTTGATTAATATTAATTTTATATTTAAAATTTTGAAATTTTAATTAATTTGACCTTTATTGTCACTTGCTATAATTTGACAAAATATACTGATGTGGTATTAAAATTCATTTGAAATTTATTTTATCTCCTAAATTGTATCTTAAAAATCAATTTGGCCCCAAATATAAAAAATTTAAATTTAAATATTTAATAAATAATTTTTTTCTCAATAATAATAAAAATAAAAAATAAAAAATATATATATAAATCCTTATTTAGAATAATGTTGAGATTATTCAATAAACATATTGTATCTGTACCGGATACTTACCGACATATAATATTTATGCATACATTTTGGATATACAAAACATATACTCAAATTTTTCTTTCTTAATTTTTGACGTACCCAGACATATCTAGTATATACCCAAGTCGTGTTGTACCTCAATCAAAAAATATTTTCTTCTACTACAAAAGTAAAATTCCATTTACGATACTTATTTTTCATTTTTAGTTTTGTGCTTAGTATGATTTTAAAATTATGATTTGCAAGTTATTTAATATTATTATATTTAATTTTGGTTTATCTTATACCTCTACTTTTATCATTAAATGTTAATCGTATGTTGGATTTAACAAATTAAACCATTTAATCATTTTTTTGTATTATTTCATATTAAAAATAATTTTTTTTTTTTACAAACGTATTAAGTTGTACTCTACTTTTTTTGAATTTTATTTTGTCGACGTACCCGTATCACATCAATATCAGCACTCATACCTGTACTTATGTTTTATAAGTCTCAAATTATCTCGAGTCAATCCTAGAAAAACGTATTGAGCCGAAAATTTATTGGCTACTGTATATATGTGTGCGTGTATAATTGTAACTAGTTTATTATCCAAATTAATTTTAATAGAATAAATCGATTAATAGTAATTTTAAAATTAAATGGAAAAAAAATTCAAAATTCGATAAGTACTTGGTATAGGGTATGATATGTTTGTCAAAGTTCTCATACTTTACAATGTCGAGATAATTATAAATGATAATTTTTATATTCTTTTTATTATTTTTTTTGCAAAGTATATATTATTTAAAATTTAATTTTTTCATTATTGAGATAAAAATTATTTATTAAATATTTAAATTTAATTTTTTTATATTTGGGAGGCAAATTGATTTTTAAGGTATAATTTGAAAGGTAAAATGAAATTTCAAATAAATTTTGGTGTCAAGTCAACATATTCTGTCCAATTATAAACGGAATGTGATGATAATGACTGAATTGATCAAAATTTCTAGAGTTTAGACGTAAATTTAATATTAATTAAAATCTAAAAGCTCAATTAAAAAATACATGAAAATTTGAGGGAGAAAATGATGTTTTCTCAATTATTAATTACGTCACAAATTCATCAATCATTCGTTATCAATTATTATTTGATCTAGAAAAGGACAAAGTCATCAATTGTTATGATAATGTTTTTTTACGGTGATCTCAGGTTGGATAAGGTTGGAATTATATTAAAAGGGATTGACAGGCTGCCAGTAACTGTTTTGTGAAATTTTGGATTCATTTTAGGTTATATTTTGATAATTTATACTGTATATTTTTTAAGATATATTAAATAAAATATATTTATAAAAATCAAATTGAATGGATATTGATAGTTATTTAATTAAATCACATTTATATATAAAAAAGTAAATGATAAATATAATTTTAAAAATAAAATTGATTACAACTATTATTTAATTAAAGAATTACTAATATCTAATTAATTTAATTTTTTTACAAATATATTGCATTTGACCCTAATAAGTAAATGGTGAATTATCAAAACATAACCAAAACCCTAGATTACAATGTGAGTGTTTGGAAAGTTGCTTGCCTCTTTTGAGAAGCTAGTTAAAAGTTAGTTTCCAGCTTTTAACTCATTCTAAGCCACATCTGTAGGAACAATCTTCTGTATAAATAAAATAAACTGAAACTAATTCAAACAAAATAAAATAAAACTTACAAAATTTATTTTGTCGAACCAAATAAAAATCAAAAGACCAAGTCGAGTGTGTGACAATCTGTCTTTAAGACAGATTCGCTCCGCTACGGTGCTTACGGTTGACTTGCGTCTATCTCCCAAGATACAATGATGTTAACCAATTTGTAGTAGCACTCCAAAACAAATTGTTCGGCGAACCAAATCTATGTTCTAACTTTCTGAATATTTATTCTAAAATTAATATGGAGAATAATGCATCAAAGATGATAATTGGGCGGTAAAAGGTATTTTGCAGACTGATTTTGGATGATACGGACTGCTGGAAATTGGTTGTATTTATAGCCAAATATTGGACCCGAACAGGTGCTATGAGGAATCCGAACAAGTATGAAACCTATTTGAACAGGTACCACTTTGTTTCAAACAGATATAGTTTTGAAATTCAAACAGATTCACAGCAGTTATATAATTGAATCTGTCTGGAAAACGATCTGGATCTGCTGGACAGTTTCAGTAGTAAACCTATTCAAAAATTGAATCTGTGGAGGAATAAGGAAGAGACACAAAGTTTGGAAAAATTTTGAATTTCAAATTCAAATTTGGAATTAATTTCCCGCAATATTTTTTTTTTGAAAAAATTCAAATGAATTTTGTCCAATAAATTAATACAAGAACCGACCCGACCCACAACCGTACCCAGCACGGCCGGACAGACGGCGAAACGCGCGCGCGTGTGTGGTGGTTTGGGCTAAGGTTCACTTTGTCCATAACTCCTCCCTTCTACAAACTTGGGGTGGCCCTTGGGGCCCAACCCAAGTGATATAGGCTAGAGCTTATAAGCTCAACAAAACTCTCTTAAAGTTTCAATGTGGGACAAGCCTCACAAGGAAACCCACATTAAAAACTTTAAATGTCCATTTCACGAACCCGAAAACGATGTCATGTTCCCATTCACTCATAAATGATTTTGACGAACCGTTTTCACCGTGTGACTTGCCATGCGGCAAGGAACACGTCAACTCTTCGGAACCACCCCAAAAGACGTTTGGAGCCCACTCAATTTTGAGCTCATAGTTGGCCCAAAATATGTCTATATAAACCAATTTTTCCAACAATCCCCCACATGAATAGAATTTGACGGAGAGAAAATGCAACAACATGATCTAATTTCAGTGAGTACATAAATTGAAAATATTCTGCAAAGGATAGGTAGCTTTTAGTTTTGAACCTTCCCTTGTGAGACACTATCGGATTTACTAGCTAACCAGCGAACATGATGACTTGAATTGTTCAGTCGTTTGTGTAAACCAAGACAATAGAACTCACACAGTATATCCCCATACACAGTTTAGTTCTCACTATTGTGTTCATTTTGACCTTGAACAACCTGGTATTTCATGAGTGCTCTAGAGATTTGTAGCCCTTCACAAATCTCATAGAACCGGCCCGGTTCACACTCACATAGGTGATTCTTATGAAGAGTATCCTACCATGCTCCACTAGGTTTACCAAGATATAAGAATCATTAAAATTTTACTTAAGCCAAAACGCTGCAGACATCACTTACTTCATCCTAGAAATTTGTAGGATTTTAGCTCCCCAGTCATCCTTTTGAGTCATACACAACTCGGTTGTCCCTTTGAACCTAGATCTTGGGATCTCCAGTCAACTAAGTTGGGTTGCCGTTGTGGAAACTCTTATTTAATAAGCTTAAGTCTCATTCCCCTCTATGAATTCTCAACTAACTCTCTTGCTAACCCTTTGGTTAGTGGATCCGCTATGTTGTCTTTAGACTTTACATATTCAATGGAAATAATTCCATTTGAGAGTAGTTGTCTTACGGTATTATGTCGACGACGAATGTGTCTAAACTTACCGTTATACAAATGACTCTGTGCTCTATCTATTGTTGATTGACTATCGCAATGTATGCATATAGCAGGCACCGGTTTTAGCTATATTGGAATATCTTCAAGGAAGTGGCGAAGTCATTCTGTCTCTTCCCCTGCTTTGTCTAAAGCTATGAATTCTGATTCCATAGTAAACCTAGCAATGCAAGTCTGTTTGGAAGATTTTCATGATACAGCTGCCCCACCAAGAGTAAAAACATACCCACTTGTGAACTTTGAGTCTCTAGTATCTGATATCCAATTTGCATCACAGTATCCTTCAAGTACTGCTGGATATCTAGTATAATTCAGTCCAATATTACGAGTAAATCGGAGATACCTTAGAACCCTTATAATTGCTTTCCAGTGTTCTACTCCCGAATTACTCGTATATCTACTTAATTTACTTACTGCATAAGCTATATCTGAGCGAGTGCAGTTCATCAAGTACTTCAAGCTTCCAATAATTTGGGCATACTCTAATTGAGAAATACTTTCATGTACATTCTTAGATAGAAACAAATTAACATCTACAGGTGTTCTAGCAAGATGATCATCATATTTGCTGAATTTGTCAAGTATTTACTCAATGTAATGAGATTGTGACAAAACATAACCTTCTGATGTTTTGATAATTTTCATACCAAGAATTACATCAACAATGCCCATGTCTTTCATATCAAAATGTT